GCCGTGGTGCGTTCAATGACAATCCTTTTTAATTACAGACATCATTAGTCGAGCTTTGCCTCGAGCACCCCCCTCCCCCAACTAAAATCTGTCATAGTTTTTTGGTCTCTTTGCGTTGAGCTGCTGATCCAATTCTTTATTTCTTGGGAAATCATGTTTTTAGATGTTACAGAGCAGTGAATTGGCAGCAGATTTTTGATCACTGACATCTTAGCGTTTCAAGTCCACTCGTCATGAATTAGTGGTGTTGTTTTTGTTGCACATCAAATCAGCATCTGCCACTAAAGTGTTTGGATTGAATGGGAGTAAAAAGCAATTATACGCTTTTCTGAGGACAAATAAAAACATTTATAAAACATGAAAGAGTGTTTTTAATTCATTAATGTGCTAGGTCAATGAGTCCAATTGATCCCCCCCTCCCAAAAAAAAAAAAAATTGACAGAAGAATCTGTGTTGTTGTGTTTTTATAAAATAAAAAAAGGATTACATTTCGTTTGAAACATCAAATCATTAGTTCTTAATTAACTTCACTATTGCAGTCAAGTGGATAATTTTGTATAGAAATAGAGAAAATGTATTATGGACACTTGTGAATATAATGCATTTCGGATCATGGATGGGATGGATTATTATCTATTTCAAATCATTTAGACTTTAAGGTGCTTAACTTGCATCTTTTTCTTACCTCTATTAATTTATTTAATAAAAGATCAGTTGTGTACTTTTATGACTTTAAACTAGATGCCAATTACAAGGCCAAATACAAATCGTCCAATCAATACTGTAATAAATAGTTTAATATTCTGGGCAAAAAAAAAAGAAGGATAATTTATTTTGTCTCCAGCTAAAACTGTTAACTGAAACAGCATCTTTTTTTTTATTTCTAAATTGTGTATTTTAACATAATAAAACACACAATTGCTCTAAATCCAAGAATCTAAACCTTTGGAATTTTTTCCCGTCTTGTATTTTACGGCAACAGATCATCTGGAATCAATGCATCATAAAGTAGATGCACTCTGTTTTCATAAGCGCTCCATTAGGCCGTGTCCGTTTTGAGTCACAGCTATCAATAAAACTTTCACCGCAAGCTGGGAGACATGTTGATGTTCGTCTCCACGGAAATGCACCCCCCCCCACCCCCCTGCTTGCCCAAAGGAGGCATCCGACAGTGTGAGTCCGTCCGGTATTTTCCTGGACACTTCCTGTGAAAAATGACACAAATCTCTCTTCACCTTGCTCTTAATCTCCTCCCGTGCTCCAGATAAGAGCCTTTTTGCTCCCACGATATAAATACAGCCGGAAAGGCACAATATCAAAAAGAATTGTGGTGGTCAAAGATAATACAGCATGTCAAACATGCGTGTGGATAACCGCGTGATTCAAATGTCGCCTACTTTACCTACAGGCAAAGTTAGTTAGATAGTTAAAGCCTTTTTCACAGCCGGTTTAAAGACCCTGTAAAGTGATCGCTTCACTTGGGCATTCATTAAGACAACCCCCCCTCACCCCACCATCCCTGGTGGAAAGTACATGAATATGTAGAAAGTTTGCTCAGCACCAAAACAGCTTAAATTGCATCTGAGGTTCTGCAACCTGTATATCTATTTTTTTTTTTTTTTGTGAATCATTTTGCTCATTTTTTAAAATTTTTCCAATGTGAAATATGTGCCTTCGCTCAATAAAGGTTGGGAGGTTGCAAAAAGGCTGCCTGTTAAGGAGTAAAACGACAAGTACCCCACGACAACACCATTGCAGTCAAGCGGCGATAGTCAATCGCGCCGTCATTCTCCTCAACAAAGACGTTGCCGTTGCAAACACTCGGCCGTAAAGACACAACCATCAAACGTCAAGATTCTCCTCTAAATAAATGTCACGGCCCAAAATGCTGGAAACAGTGAAGAATAGCAAACATTTCAGCCTGTGTAAAATGCGATCGTCATGATCATCCAAATGAGGTCATCCATGTGAAAAAAACACAGTTGTTGATGATAAAGTTTGCCTTCAGATGTGCACGAGCAACCTGGACACGGTTTGTGTGTCTGACTCAAGTGTGGCCTTGACAGAAGGGGCCGGCTTTGCCAGGTGGGCGAACATCCCATGGCGTGACGATAACGGCGGTGAGTAGGGTGACGAAGGCCTTTGGATGAAATTTATGTGCACCGTTGCGTGTGTGTGTGCGTGTGCGCGAATGCAAGTGCGTGTGGTTGCATGACTTTCAACAACTGTGTGCTTATTGATCCTTTCTGAGTCATATTAATGCACCACAAGTGAATCCTAGTTTGAAGCCCTAACCTTTCTTCAAACTCTAACGTCAGCTTAAAGCTCAAGCGGGAAATCCTATAACCGACCTGAATATTCTTACTGGAACCCAAAACATTTGTTTAAAACCTGAATTAGAAACACAAACCCTCAGCCCTGCTTGAAACCCTAATCTAAATCCATACTCTCTACTCGGAAGCCTAACCCTGGTTTGAAGCCCAAATTTGAAATGCTTTGCTTCAAACCTTCACTTGAAACCTCTATCAGATTTGAAACTATCATGTGAAAACCCAACCTTGACTTTCATCCAAAACATTTTTCTTGAAACCCTAATTTTATTAAATTTACTTGAAACCCTAAGTCTATCTTGAAACTCTCAGGTTTGTGTGAAACCCTTTTACAGGCATGATAGTTGAATTCGGAAGCCTTTCCCTGGCTTGAAACCCACATTTAAAACACTGACTTATGTTTGAAACCGAAATGCTAATTCTCATCCAACTGATCTTTTTACGCTCACACAAACTGACCAAAATGCACATTATAAATTGACAAAATCCAGAACGAATGGGAGCCAATTTCAACCCCAAGAGGAATCCAAAACCATTTTAGTTGTTTTATGACATTCAATTGTGCAGGCGTACCTCGCGTTTGTGTCTGTCTAGCGCAGATTGTGGATGTCGCTGCTGTTATTCCCTTCCTTTCTGTCCCAGTTCGAGCGTTCCAAGTTAGCTTTCTGAGCATCAAACTAATCTGTGAGTCACTGAGTCCTATTTCCAGTCGCACTGTTTATGCCAAAGGCAACTATAGAGGGGAAAAAAAAGAAAAGAAAAGAAAAGAAAATCTCACGAGGGATTTGTGGCGAATAAAAAAGCTATTAGCAAAGATTAAAGTGATTTGAAATGTCCAGTTACAACTCATGAGGACTCTGTTAGTAATACTGGTTTTACTGGTGCAACGATAAAGCAGTGGAAATTTGTTTTCAAAGATTCTTCCATCGATATGCATGAGTCTCGGTGGTAAAGTTGTGCATCAGTCACTACTCTTGACCTTAACCGTGGCTTGGTACACTTATTCAAAACCCTAACTATTGTTTGGAACCCTAACACAAGGATGAAAACCTCATTTTAACCCTGAACCATAACGTCAACTAGTGGTGGACGGATTGATCCAAACAGCAGTCATTGCAAGACCAAGTCAGTATCAATATTGGAGTGATACTGGCATGATGAGATCAATACCGTAGTTGTAGTTTCGCTCTTGTATGCACCCCGTTGGTTTCTTCAGACGGAAGACAGCCAGGTTCAACAGGACAGACAGGCACAGTTTGGTTCCTTAAATGTTTTATAAAATGGGTTGTGGATTGATAATCTTAAACAACTAGTTTCTTTTAGTAAAAGAAAATAGTAATAATAATAATAATCCAGAAAAAGATGTTTTATAATTTTTTTCCTATGGTAGAAAGTGAAAGCTACGTGTGGTGAAAAAGCAGTATTTTCCATTTGCCACGAAACTTTGTCTCTTAACTTTTAACTGTTTGACAATTAAAAAAAAAACAATAAATAAACTTCACAAAAACACTTAAAGTTCTTGAAACGTAATTGCGATTTAGCAATTTGCCGATGTAGCAACCTTAATTCTTGGCCCTATATTTACTTGGTATCGGATCGTGACCAAACTATGCCGTATTGCACAGCACTTGGAACAGCCTCTGCACTCAATGTTCAAACTTTAAACTTGGTTTGAAACCTGACTTAACCCTTGTCTGAAACCTGAACTCAACCCTGGCATGAAACACTAATTGGAAATCCTACACAAGGCGAGAAAGTCGATCCCTAGTTTGAAACCTTAACACTTGCCTGAAACCCTAATTTGTAAAAATACATCTTTGAACCTTAGCACGGCACAGTGATACATTGGTTAGCGCGTTGACCTCACAGTGATGAGATGGTACCGGGTTCAATTCCAACTCCGGGCTCCCTGTGTGGAATTTGCATGTTCTCCCCGGGGCTGCGTGGGTTTTCTCCGGGTACTCCGGTTTCCTCCCACATTCCAAAAACATGCATGGCAGGCTGATTGAACACTCTAAATTTCCCCTAGGTGAGAGTGTGAGCGAGAGTGAGGTTGTTTGTCTGTGTGTGCCCTGCGAATGGCTGGCATCCGGTTCAGGGTGTCCCCCGCCTACTGCTCGAAGACGGCTGGGGTAGGCTCCAGCACCCCCTTAGCCTACATTAAACCCGAGTTCAACACCATGACAGATAACCCCAATTTTAAACCATGACAATTATTTGGAAAATTTACTTTGAAACTAAGCCCATTTTGAAATCATAAATCGACACTGCAACCCTTCTCTAAAACCCTAACCCTGGCCTCATATGATAATCCGAAGTCCTAAACAAGCCTGAAAGCCTAATTTGAAACAATTAGGCTTCCCTTAGTTCCTCGTTTTAAACCCCAATTTTTAAACCCTGAACAAACTTGAAATATTTCTTTGAAACCACGATGCCACGTTGAAGCCCTAAACTTGTATTGAAACCCTAATTTGAAACACACAGTGTGGCTTGAAACCCGAATCCTACACTGAAACCCGACCACAGCCCTGAAACCCTTTTGCGAATTTGACAAATTAGTCTTGGATGTGCATATTTAAGTTGTCATCATATCAATAAATTGAACTCTTGCCTCCTTTAAATGAGTCACACAGCTAGAAACCACAAAATGGCAACAGCGTCTTGTCATACCTGCGAGGCTACCCGACGTCGGAATTCTCGTTGACCACTAAAGACGTCGATCCGAGACCTGGGCTTGCGTGGGACGCTCCTCGCAGGTTCCTGCCCGCGGGCTGAAAAGCAGAAGAAACAAATGAAAGGCGACGTGGCGAGTGAGCTCGCCCACTTGAACCAACTGAGCCGCCGCAAATGTGCCGCCATCCGGAATAAAACAATCCTGGAAGAAATGTCAGTCCGAGCGAGAGCGGGAGAAAAACGCGCAGTCCTCGCATGGCCGACTTGTTCATTTTTACGCCTAAACGGCAAAACCGCGTTGGCTCGTTGTGCTGCCGTTGCAATGTGGAAAGACAAGCAAACGGGGATGCTTTTTTTTTTTTTTTTGTTTAACTTGGGAGAGCTCCCGAAACAGGGCCGTCTTTGCTCACCCGCCCGTTACATTTATTTTCTATGCTAGACCCAAAAATGTTCATGAATAAATTGACCGGCTGTATGACGAACCCTTTTTCAACGTTTAACTTGGCAAGCTCCTGAAAACTACAACTGCTGAACTTTGCGCTTATCACCGCTGTTAAGGTTGTTTCTCAAGTACCCTAAAAATAGTCATCGATCAAATTGACCCACTGCATATTTTAACAATGTTGTCCTTTTCACAAATAGAATTGATGGTCATGTTTTGTTTTTCACTTTTGATGCTTTTTTTTTCCCCCCATTTGCTTCTTTGGTACAACAAAGGTCAAATTGACCACCACACACTTAGCCCTCCTGTTATTGTGTGGGTAAAATTATATTAGCCATCAAAATATGAAATAAATTCAGCATCCATCTTTTTTAAAAGCTGATTTTAAAGCAGGCCATTTTGACCTTTGACAAACAGGATGGTTAGAAAAGAGTCAAAAAGTCCAAGTCGGCGACATATTTACACGATTGATGAAGGTTGTCAACACTCAAGAGAAAATAACCTTTGACGCGTCCCTGCCGCTTTAGCTGTTTGTTTGATGTCTCAGAGATTATCATCTGCAAACCTGTCAATGCCCTTATTGATTATGTCTGGGGGACTTGGCCACAAACTGTCAAAAACTGGGTTACGGTAAGTCTCAGAAAATGTGATTAGGAGCGGAAAAAAATAAGGTCCACAGAAATGCTCATGGGTCAATGTGTCAATGTCAATGTTGTGATAAGTATTGAATACTATGACCATCTGGTCTCCTTCCTAAAAAGAAGACCAAGTATTGTTAATGCTCGAACACAAAAGGAAATGATTTGGGTCATAATGAAATATTTGGTTAAGACTGATGAGTGCTCACCATTCTTCCTCAATTGCTTTAAGTCACAATTAATTAACGAATTCCACATCATCGACAGAATCTTCTTCTATGTGGTTCTTTACAAGGGCAGCTGCTGATCCGCCTCCACGAGTGATTTGAGTGTGGTGCCACGCGGCAATTTGCAAGGCCGCTTAATTGAAGAAAAGGCTTAATGAGGCTCCCGGAGGATTGGAATGTAGGCCTCCTAAATGGCTCAGGTAGGGAAAGACACGGTCAACAGGATCAGAGTAAAGGCCTGTGAAATTGCCATGAGAGGGCTTAACTGTGACATGCCGTATTTAGTTCATAAAATCTTCAAGTTAAATATTGGGGGAGGGGTGCTTTCTTTTCATTTTATCCATAACAAGCAACTACGATAAAAAAGGACATGACAAATAAGTATGGAAAGACTTTATGGAATGTTAGGGTACCATTGTGCAGTAATGCCACCCAATGACAGCTGTGTGACAATGTGCAGATCATCAAGCAGAGATAAAGTGGTGCGATACAATCCTATGGCGGTTGTGCAGTCGGTGCAGATAACCGTCACACCAGTGGCAGTAATTGTAGTACAATTTTAGGTGTGCAAATATACCAAAAGTCCTTTCGCGCTTGAAAGTTACATTGAAACTGTAACATTTATTTTGTGACTTTGTGAATGCATACACTTTGTTTTTCTTCTTTCTTCTTTCTACCCTCAATCTTGCTGCTGTAGAGTGTAAATTTCCCCAGGGTGGGACAAATAAAGGATATCTTATCTTATCTTATCTTAAAGTGTCTGGTGCTGTGGAATATAGATCAAGGACAATTGTTCAAGTATCTACAGAGCTGGAGCTACAATGATCAATGAATTTATCTTTCATTTGTTTTTATGCATTCTTTTTTTATTTCTTTATATTTGATTTGCTAAAATATTACTTACACTTACTGAATCCATACAGTAAGTGTAAAGTGAGATTTAATTTATTGGAATGTTGAACCAGTCCTAGCCTAGACAAACTGATACCATGGTTTTTGCTTCCAATGTACAGTGTTTCAATGATTGTTCAAATAGCATACTGTAGATGTTCTCATATTAACAAGAAAACCTTGCAGTTTTATAGACATAAATCGCAGAGGCAGACATTCCGTCACACTGATGTAAGTAAGGTCTGTCAGTCTGAAATACGGATGGGAACGCACTGACGGTTTCACCAGACCGATGATGACCACCTCGGATAAACTTCTAATAAAAAGCAGAAATGCTCAGAGAAAAAGTGATCGGAATAATATTCATTATTTCATACAAGATTTAAGTGTAACATCAACAGAGTCAAAGTATTACACTGTGAAGTCAGAATGATTTGTTAAGTTCATTAATTTAATGTTAATTTTGCTCTTGTGTTTCATGTGATTTCTTGTTTTGTCTCCTCATAGTGTGTCCAAAATTGATTTTTGGGGTGGCCAAAAGTTGGCCTCTCAAACTGCTTTAAACAACAAAGCATATGAGGGAAAAGAAGAAGAAGAAGAAGAAGAAAACCTTTATTAGTCTCGCAATGGAGAAATTCCCAATTCACAGCAGCAAAGTTATGAAAGGAAGAAGTAGAACAACAAAATATAGGAGCTGCTGGAAAGGCAGCCACTCTCGCGGCGCCATTTAAGTGGTTAGGACTGCACGACTGTCCGTGTTTTGTTGGTTATTTTACGTTATGTTAACTGTTTTGTTAAGCACTTTGTTACAGCTGCCGCTGTTGTGAAAGCGCTATATAAATCAGCATGTATTATATTGTATTGTATTGTATTGTATCCACAAGGTTTGCGAGCCCATCATTTCTCCATCTGACAGCCACACATCAAACAGGAGTGGGCAGAGATAAATGGCAGGGACATTGAAGTCGGATCAATTCCATCTAGCGAGGTTCCTCACTGGGAAACAAAAGACCATGGCTGTCGACAAAGCTCAAGTCACTTCAACGTGTCCTTCAAAGGGAACATGCTGAGTTCAATTTATTTATTTATTTTAAAACAAGTGTACCGAGGTGGTGGTTTACAAAGTGGTTTGCTTGATTTGTGTCACGCTGAGAGAATACTGTGGATTTTGGTAGGGGGTTTAGGTGCTGTCATACTTTTGTTTTGCAGATCCCATGGCCACTGCAAGGACAAGAATCTAGATCTGCCACTGGTACCATTACCCTCCACAAAAGATTGACAGAGTAAAAACTGTCGTCCCGCAAACGAGCAACAGGAAGCTAACAATGGATTGCAGCCAGAGTAGGTCTTGTGTGCTTTGAATTCAATTGGAAAAGCTTTCAGAAGATATGGTTGAAAATAAATGGCTGCAGTGCAATAACTCCATAGATTTTATCACGTAAAACTCAAGATACAGTAATTACCACAGCATCACTACAGTGATTACACCGCAACATGCAATTAGTTTCAGATGGTTGCCAAGGACAACAGACATGCACTGCTACATGAACTTAGCATGATTGGAACTAAGCTTCGAGTGTGAAAGAAGCTTCATGAAAAGAACTAAAGAGCCCTCGGTGATTTCCTTTATCTGTGTGTCTTCAAATAGACTAGACAAGTAGCTAATTCAACACTTGGCCGTGTGTGTTTCATATACACATGAAGAATAAAAAAAAGAGAAGACAACAGAGAGGGTAAGGAGAGATGGGGGGAATTTGGTTCAAAAGGTCACGTAAATGTCAGACACGAGTCGGGACAAACTTTTCCTCGCAGGCGGTAGCGTAAACTTTGAATAAAACAGTAAGGGGAAGGGAAAAAAAAGGTTAAAGAAGGCGACACCGAAAGTGAAGCCAGACAAGAAAAGAAATGCACCCTTCTAAATCAGAGCAACAGAAATAATGACAAAGTGAAAGAACCAGGGTAAGAATAATATTAGCTCGACTTTGAAGCTCAAAGCAAATCAACAACATCGGCACTTTATTGCCATTGCTCAAAGCCATGTTGGTCACTACATTAGGTATACCTGAATTGATACTGTCAGTATCAATCAACCAATCAACTCAGTTCGAGTTATAAAGCACATTTCACACACAAGGCAAACCACATGTCCTTTACAGTGGTTAAAATCAATGAGAATAAATGCAACAATAGTGGAAACAACAATAAAATGAAGAGCATTTGAACTTAATGATAGGGAAAGCAGATAGTAAAGAGTACAATGACATGATACGGAGACTATAACCCCAAGCAAGTCTACTTTCTGACCCAGGCCTCCAGAAATATAGCTTTTGCTCTGAGTCCAATCTAGACCAGAAGTAGAAGAACTCTTGTGAGAATAAATAAGGCATAGAGCAACCTGCCTCACCTGGCGGACCGCGATCCACTACCGGACCGCCGACCTCCTCTGTCCGAACCTCCTCTGTCCGGACCTCCTCTTGTCTCGGCAAATTGTATAAAATAATAATTTATAAAGTGATTTTTACGCGATACATTTTATATTTGTGGACTATTATCTGCACATTACCGCGATCGCTTGTTAAAATTATCCGTTGTATTCTTTGCGTGCACTAACAGATGTACAGTTACATTTGAATTACTGTAATAAGCTGTTTCAGCAAATTAGCGATATGAAGTAATGATTTTGTTTTTCTGATAATGTTTTAGAAGAGGTAGTGACAGTAGTAATTGTGCTATCGATGCTACTTACAGTATTTTTGATGGGAACAGTGGGAGCAGTTGTAGTAGTAGTAGTATTAGTAGTAGTAGTAGTAGTAGTAGTAGTAGTGATGATGATAATGGTGGTAGTAGTGATGATAATGGTGGTGGTGTTGGTGTTGGTGAGAGTAGGGCAAGTAGTAATA